CTCCCTCTGTCACCCTGGGTAAAGGTAGAGTGCCATGGCATCCTCATAGCTCACAGCAACCTCAAACTCTTAGCCTTAAGCAATCCTCTTGCTTCAGCCTCCTAAGTGCCACTACAGGTGGCTGACACAAGGCCTGGCTAATATAATAAAAACAGAGTCATGCTCTTGCTCAGGCTGGTCTTGAACTCCTGAACTCTAGTGATCCACCTGCCTTAGACTCCCCAGGCTGCTAAGATTACAGACATGAACTACAGCATTTGGCCTGTTGCCAGAATTCTATTTTTTTTTTTTTTGGTTCCTCCTCATGTGTGTTTTCTTCTTGTTCACTTCCTTCCCCTACATTCTGCCTTTGCTTTCTCCTCTTTAAATGTCCTCATCTCTGGGCTCGTGTGTTAGAGTAGCCTTTTGGTACAGGAACAAAAGGAGGAGAAGAGGAAATAGCAAGAAGGCAGAAAAGAAAGAAAAAATTAAATAAAAAATGGAGAGAAGAAAAATAGAAGAAGAAAAACAGGAATAATAATGTTGAGGGACAAACCACAGTGACCCACACCCACAATCCAAGTACTCTGGGAAGTCAGGGCAGGTGGTTTCTTTGAGGTCAGGAGCTTCTTATCAACTTGAGCAATAGCAAGATCCATCCTTCACCAAATATAGAAAAAAAAAATCACCCATGTTTTGCATCAAGAACCTGCCAATATAGTCCTTCAAGAGGCCAAAACTAGAAGTACACCCTAGCCCAGGGTTTTGAGGCTTCCATGAACCAGGCCAATACTGAGGCACCCCAGTCCAGGCCTGACAGCAAGGCTCTGTCCCATATGTACAATGTAGAAAAAAAATAGAAAAAAAAGACCAAAAAATGGGCAGGGGGAGTCATTTGAGAGATTTATGAGGAAAAGCTGAAAAAAGTTTTAAAAGCCACAAAAGGAAAGGAGGAGATAACAGAGAAAAGAAGAATAAAAGGCAAGGAATCCCATAACGAAGAGAGAAACATTGATATTTTAAAAAGTTAAAAATTTAAAAATAAAAAAAAATTAAAAATAGATATGATATAATGTCTGTATCACAGATATATTTTCTGGACACTAGGTGGCACTCCGAAAAGAAAAAATAAATATGTGTAATGCCATATATTGCCAGGACACCAGGTGGGGCTAGCTCCAGGGGCAGTTTAAAAAAAAAAAAAAGTTTCTACTGTCTGTGTTGGGGGAAGTTACTTACTAGTTGTCATGGAGACCTGGTCTCGTTTTCCTGATTCATTTGATTTAAATCTGGACAGGGTTGCTGTGCCAGCATTCTGTCCTTGTAGGGTTGGAGGCCTGAAGTGTATGCCAGACTTTATGAAGACACTGCTTTCATACTCCAAATAGTTCCCTAAGGCCACAAACGGGTCTGTGTGGTCAGCAAAATCTGTCCAGCTTGCCCCTGTCTCTTGGGAGTCAGCCCAAGAGTGTCTGCTTGTGCCCAGCAGGTGAAGTCAGAACCCGACCCTGGAGGCTGTCCTCCCCTGCAGCTTTCCCACAGTGGCAATGCCCCATGTCCCAACCCCTAGTCTCTGAGTCCAAACCCACCTGCCTAGCACCCTCGGTAGGCTCTTGCCGAAGCAAATCGGTGCAACAAGCTTCCAAATTCAAACAGTGAGGAAGAATGTCTTCCCTGTGACCAGCCCTTTACCGAAGGACTCATTTCTGTGCATACCCCAGAGACCAGCAGGATCTCAGCTCCAGCTCATTTCTCCCTATATGCCTCACCTGGAGGAATAATCCCTCCCAGAATTTGGTTTCATCCCCAGTCCACCACCACAGGGTGTGGGAACTGTAGGGGAGACTCTCCTGTGAGCTCAGTCCCTCAGGGATTCTACTTGTTGACTCCATCCCTGAGTTACTGGACTCCCTAACACTTGCTTTCTGTGTAGATTTTTCTCCACTCCCAACCTCCTTGGCTCCTAGAGACCCTCACTGTCTCACCGTGCACTGGCAATGATGTTTCTGGATGAGATAATCAGGTAAGAGGCTAGAGACTCCTCACCTTGATCTTACCAAGAACAGCTGGTGAGAAGATGTCTCTCTAGTCCCTCATCTTGGAGCCTACTCCCCTAAAGCCACTTCTCAAAAATGTTTTCCCATTTTTTCTTCTTTTTGTTCTTCTCTTTCCACTGTCCAGCCTTCTTTTTCGGTTGTTGAACATTTTTAATAATCCTATTTGCTACTGTGATTTTTACTATATCTATTGTATACATTTTCAATGGTTGCCCTGAGGGTTGCTAAATACAGACAGCTATTTACAGTCATTTAGAATAATATATTCCAACCTCATTCAGAGTATAGAAACTCCACCACATTATAGGTTCTTCATCATATAGCCTTTATGCTGTAGTTTTTATATATTTACATTTACATATAGAAAAACCTCATAGACAGTATTATACATTTATTGCTTTAAACCATCTAGTCTGTGTAAAGAATTCAGTAACATTCTATGTTTAACATTTATGATGTACTTTTATCATTTATATTTTTTCCAGGTTTTCTTCTGTGTCATTGTTTTCTGTTTAAAGAATATTCATATCAGATTTTTGTAGATCAGCACTATTGTCTATGAATTCACTTAGTTTTCCTTCCCCTGAAAGTGTCTTTAATTCACCATCCTTCCTTTAGGACAGGGATTTTCAACCAGTGTGCCATAGAACACTGATGTGCTGTGAGAGGATCTTAAGTGTGCTGTGAATTTTTTTTAAAGATCATTAATTAAATCATTTTTGAAAGAAGTTCAAAGCACAGTAAACATATTATTTTTGTTAAACTGTTTTTTGATCAACATAATTGAAGTATGCCATTGAAGTTTAACTATAGGTTCAAGTGTGCTCTGAGATAAAGAAGGTTGAAAAATACTGCTCTAGATTATTTCTGTTTGACACAGAAATCTGGGTTGGCAATTCTGTTCCTTCACCAATTTAAAAATATTTTTCCACTGATTTCTGGATACCATGATTTCTAATGAGAAATCCACACTCATCTGAAACATTGTTACCCAATAGGTAATTCCTCATTTTACTCTGGGTGCTCTCAAAATTTTGTCTTTACTTTACAGTAATTTGATTATGATATGTCTGGGTGTAAGTTTGGGGGTGTTCATTTTGTATGGAGTTTAATCTGCTTTTCATTTTCCAAACTTGAGAAGTTTGTAGTCATTATTTTTTCAAATATCGTGCTAGCCAGAGAGTCTTTCTTTTCTCCTCTGTAACCTCATTGTCATGAATCTTAAGCCTTTTGCTGTCCCCAAAGTCCCTTGGGCTTTGTTCACGTTTCTTCAATTATTTTTCTCTCTGTTGTTCAAATTACATAATTTCTGTTGATCTGTCCTCAAGTTCACCTACCCTTTTCTCTATCATTTCTATTCTAGTACAGAGTATGTGAAATAAGCATTTTATTTTGGTTATTGGGGTTTGGGGTTCTAAAAATTTTGTTTGTTCATTCTTTATATCTTCTTACTTGTTATGTTAATATTTGTAGATACTCACTAAAGTGTTTTTATAATAACTGCATTAAAGTCCTTGACAAATAATTTCAATATCCGTTTCATCCTGTCATCCTTTTGTTCCATTTGTTCTTTCTTTGTATCTTCTATATACTGATAATACTTGTTATGTTAATATTTGTAGATACTCACTAAAGTGTTTTGATAATAATTACATTAAAGTCATTGACAAATAATTTCAATGTCTGCGTCATCTTGTCATCCTTGTCTGTTGGTTGTCTTTTCCTCTGCGAGTTGAGATTTTTGTGATTCTTTGTGTGTCAATCAACTTTTCTTTCATCCTGCATGTTCTGAATAATGCATAAAGAGACTCTACATCTTGTTTTCATTCTAGTTGAGGCTTGTGGTTGTAATTTCAGTCTTTGCAGTGCTGTTTCAGTCTCTCCTATGCAGGTAATATTCATTGGTCAGTCCTGGGCCAGGGCTGAGGGCTACTCAGTAGCACAATTTTCAGTGTTTGGTATGCTAGTTATGATTTGATCCATAAGTAAGCACAGAAATACACAATCAACTTCATATCATTTTCCTGTTTCTTTCTCCTGTTATCTACACATACCTAGTACTTTTTGGTTTCCCAGGATTTCTTTCTCATTTTCTCATTCCCACAGCCAGAAATCACCCACTTTCATGACTGTGCCACATCCAAGGGCAGAAAGATATAGAATAGTAAAAGGCAGTGAGGTTCATCCCTGCTTTCTTGGACCCACACTTCCACTGAACTGAGAGTAACATTCCCTCCCTTTGAATTTTGGACCTTACAAGCTTCCCATTCTTATTTATTATTGCCACCATTGCTACCACAAGACTTCTAAGAGCTGAAGCACAAGAGAACACTGAATAAAAGGGGATTCCCTGACCCCCACACTCTCTGAACTTAAAGTATTCCCTTTTCTACTCCTCAAGCCAGAACTGGAAAGATTCTTCTTAATCTCATTCTATTTGGACTACATTACTTACTTCCAGGCTTTGGATTGCTTTGAGTTCAAGCTAGGGGGGAAATGGGGAACTCACCGTTGATTCAGTGATACTTTTTGAATTCTGGTGTTCTTCCTGATCCAACTGCCAATATGTACTTTTCATAGCTCTCCAGGATTAATAATTAAGTTCAGAAAGAGGGGTGTATGTTTACTCCATTTTACCTGGAAGCTAGGAGTTTTTCTTTGTCTCCTTCTGTTGATGAGTTTCAGATACTTTTATAAATTATGAAAGAAAATATTTCAGGAATTTTGCTCTAGATATGAAGGGAAGCAAGGGAAAGAAAACATTATTTTCTTACTGCTATAAGATAAAAACTTATATAAACTGAAGATATAAGTTTATCTTACTGCTATAAGATAAAAACTTATATAAACTATAATGGCAAGAAACTTCATATATTTGGTAAGCTATATAAGAAGAGTTCCAATCTAAAAACTTTTGGAGGATAAAGTTGGATGCACCATGTAAATTCTGTCTTTTCTTTCTAGATTAAAGGAATACCTCAAAAGATGCATCCCATGGAAACTGATCATTTGCTGACTGTTTTCAACCTGATAGAGAAACGTGATACATTTTCACAGTCACTAAGTGCCGGAGCGAAGCGCAAACTCTCCATCATTATAGCACTTCTAGGGGGCTCCAAGGTATTAAAAAAGAATGAGAGCAAGAAAGAGAAAAATAAAGGGAGAGAAAATGGAAGAAAGAGGTGTATGAACACACAGGGTTGAAGATAAGGGAGGGACAAAATATGGTTCCCTATTGGTTGTCTAGAATACTGGCTGGCAAGAACCTAAGAATTGATATGAATCTAAAATAAGGTGACCAGATTTTAACATTGGTAAAGCGGGACACCATGAGGGGGTGGGGCCTGGGGTACCCCTTCCTGTTCTTTAGCCCATTCATGCATTCTTTCCAAAAAATCGGGACTTTTTTAAAACACCATGGAATACAGGACAAATTGTTAAAAAGCAGGACTGTCCCTCCAAAAGCGGGATGTCTGGTCACCTTATGCATGACAAACTAGGGAACATGGGAGAACAGGAAGGGAATATATGATTTTTGGCTGCCACATGGCTATTTCTCCAGGATATGCGTTTTATATTATTTTTGTTAATTTTATAATGTTAAACTTTAATAATAACAAATAATTGTTGAGAACTGATTGTCAAGAACTGCTTATCAAAGTTTGCATTGTTGTCAGACCCTGCCCTGCCCCCATCCCACCCCAGGCCATGTTGTCCCACTTTACAAAGGTTAAAGTCTGGTCACCCTAGTCACGCATTCTTTCCAAAAACTGGGGCTTTTTTAAAATGCTGCAGGATGCAGGACAAATTGTTAAAAATCAGGACTGTCCCGCCAAAAGCAGGACGTCTGGTCACCTTGGGGGGGGGGCCCTACTTGTTTGTTCCAGACAGTTTGGCTCCTTCTGAGCTAATTGTCCTTGCCTAGAAGCAAGTAGAAGCAAGAGAGGGAGCCAGTCTCCTTCTGATACCTTGCCCAGGAGGGGAGTAGGGAGTTTACATTAGCCTTTTCATTTCCAAATGAAGTGATATTAACCTCTTCATTCCCAAATGGAGTTACATTAACTTTTTCAGCAGCCTAAAACCATATATTCCCTTCCCATTCTCCTGCTGTTCCCTAGCTTGTCATGCATTCTTTCCAAAAATCAGGACTTTTTTAAAACACCATGGGACACAGGACAAATTGTTCAAAAGCGTGAAGTCTGGTCACCTTAATCTAAAAGGAATGTTGCCATTGATTATCAGAAGGGATTTGCATTACTGGCCCAACTATTCTAATATGGTTTGGGAATTATTTTTCCTAGACTTTTGTCTCTGTTTCAGTCTGGATTCTGTATCTTAGCTTGAATTTATCCCCTAAAATAGTAATTCCACAAGTAGCATAGCATCAATTATCAATGGTCATAGAATTGTTTTTCTGGCTTTTAGGTAGTGATACTTGATGAGCCATCATCCTTCATGGACCCAGTCTCAAGAAGGGTCACCTGGGACCTCCTTCAGCAGTATAAACAAAATCGTACCATCTTGATGACCACCCACTCCATGGATGAAGCTGACATCTTGGGTGACCGCATTGCCATCATGGTCAAGGGAAACATGCAGTGCTGTGGCTCTTCAGTCTTCCTGAAACAAATATTCGGTCTCTCTCCCTTTGATCATTCTTAGGATATTGATACTTTAATGATATTCTTCTAACATGATTTTCATCATATATCATCTATATACCCAAAACCTCAGTCCCCCCCCCCCATCCTCCATGCTGTTAGTTAGGTCTTAACTATAGTAATTCATTTTTAAGACCTTTTGCAATGTTGCTATTCCCAGTATATGCTTATCACTTGTTCTCCAGCATATACCTTCAGACTCAGGAAATACTTTTATTGACATACAAAGTCCACATTTATTTGTCCCATTGTGTACCTAACAGTTTTCTTTGTCCCTGAAATGCAGTTGTGCCTCCAAATACATTTATTTGATTGAGTACTTTATTGATTGATGAGGAGAGAAGCAAGATATCTCTGATCCCAATTTGTCCTTTGTCAAACCAGTGTGATGAGGTAACTCTGAAATGTGATAATTGATAGTAAGGATGCAGAGCAGAATAAGAGAATTGTATATATGGAATAAAACAGTCCTTGACTTGGATAAGTATATAGCTTAGATAGAATATAAAAATGGTATATTAAACAGTGAATTATTAAGGGCTAACATATAATAATAGTAATAGGATTTCAAAATTAGAAGATATAAATTTGAGTGGTGGTAATGAAAGATGAATTGCTTTAGTCATTAACTTATTCCATATTTGAGTTTTGTTTGGTTTGGTTTTTTTCTGAGACGGAGTCTCACTTTGTCACCCTAGGTAGAATCATAGTTCACAGCAACCTCAAACTCTTGGGCTTAAGTGATTCTTTTGCTTCAGTCCCCAAGTAGCTAGGACTACAGGCACTGGCCACAATGCCTGACTATTTTTTTGTTGTAGTTGTCATTGTTGTTTAGCAGGCCCAGGCTGGGTTTGAACCCGCCAGCCCCAGTGTATGTAGCCAGTGCCCTAACCCCTGAGCTATGGACGCCAAGCCCATATTTGAGTTTATTGAACTCTCAATTGATTATCTCCTCTGTACTATTCACTTTGTGTATCTCACGTAAAATTCAAAACAACTTCATTTTATAGAATACAAAGCTGGGAATCAGATACACCAAAAACTTGTCTGAAGTCATATTTAAACACCCATTTGGTTGTTTATGATCATCAATTTGAGTTTGTACAGTTGTCTTTTAGGGGTTCTATATCCAAAATTGGGTTTATGCTATCTGAATTAGGAGCCATATGATTTAAATAGCTGTACTTTCCAAGGAATCATTTATAATAATTTTAAATAGCATATAGTAATTTCATTAATTCTTGGTAAAATAGTCCAGGATATTTAACCAGATATTTTGAAAGGTAGAATACTTCAGGTCATTCAAACAGATGCTTAATTTTAAGTATGTTTAAACTGCATTTCTTATATTTTAATCAAAAGCCTCAGATTTATGTTTACTTCTTTGATAGCATAGAAAACTCCATTTTGGTATCCCTATTCACCTCTTCACTAACTACCTTGTGTCTCTGCAAAGGGAGGCATTTTCTAATGATCGGAGTCTTGAAAGGGTAAGACAATTGGGAAATTTATTGTGTCATGATTCCAGAGAAACAAAAAACAATTTACACATCAATTTGTAAATAAACCAAAAGCAGTTTTGGTTCCCCATAACTAGTAAATAATGGATGGATCACTTTATTCTCTGATGTCAGGAACCTCATTTGTAAAGTGGAATAATAGTATAAGTAATAATAGTAATAGTAATAATAAGCCAGGTAAATAAACCAGCAAACACAGATCTATATTAAGACCTATTGTCACAACTGCATAAACGATCACATGAGACATGGATTGACAGTACACGCTGCAAGAGGTGAGGCTAACCATAGGTGCAATAGCACTGAGCACGTCTCGCAGAGTCATTTTATTGAGAAGATACATAATAGGAAGAAAGATTACTAAGCAAAGACAAGCAGGGGCTGCATGCTCAGGGAAATGATCTCATAGGTGCCAACAGAGTATGTACTCAAGGAAATGATCTTCAAGGGTGGTAAGGAAATGATCTTCAAAATACTAAATGCAATTTTCCTCCACTAATTCTTTAAGGAACTGTCATAAAATGCTTGATGTTTAACAATAGCCTTATTACTACAGGACTGAACTTTGCTCCTCCAGGATTACTGAGTTACTTGGCGGCTTGCCTTCCAAGTCACAAGAGATTTCCAGGCTTGCCAGAAGAATGTCTTGTTCTCAGTAATTCCTCGGATGAGTTATGATATTTGGTGACTATTGTAGTAAATATGATGTTTAATCCTCTATAACCTATTTTTCACTTTTTTAAGTATTAATAAGAAACATAAGTGCAAATACAATGACTGTTTGGAGTCCGTATATATATGTATATATGTATATTCTTTTTTCTTGAGACAGAGTCTCACTATGTCACCCTCAGTAGAGTGCTGTGGCATCATCACAGCTCACAGCAACCTCAAACTCTTGGGCTTAAGTGATTCTCTTGCCTCAGCCTCCCAAGTAGCTGGGATTACAGGCCACAACACCTGCCAGCTATTTTTTTGTTGCAGTTGTCATTGCTGTTTAGCAGGCCCCGGCTGGGTTTGAACCCACCAACTTTAGTGTATGTGGCCAGTGCCCTAACCACTGAGCTATGGGCACAGAGCCTGGAGTGCATATAGTTAAAAATAGTGTTTCCTTTCAATGCTAAAAAGAATTTCTCTATGCATCCAAAGCCCTAATTAAGTATAAGGGTTCTATGACTTCTTTAAGATCTTTAATTAAAAATCATCTCATTTAGGCTTTCTCAGGATCTCTATCTAAAATTTAACAACCTTTCTTGTCTCCCTTCTCTGCTTTATTTTTTCGAACACACTGTTTTAATTTATTCTTCTTGATTATTATCTGTCTCCTTTGACTAGAAAGTCAGCTGTCATGGGTGGCACCTGTGGCTCAGTGGCACTGGTTCCATATATCAAGGGTGGTGGGTTTGAACCCAGACCCAGCCAAACTGCAACCAAAAAAAAAAAAGAAAATAGCTGGGCACCTGTAGTTCCAGCTACTCCAGAGGCTGAGGCAAGAGAATTGCCTAAGCCTAAGAGCTGGAGGTTGCTGTGAGCTGTGATGCCACAGCACTCTTCCCAGGGTGATGTAGTGAGACTCTGTCTCAAAAAAAAAAAAAGAAAAAGAATCCCTATATATAGGATTATAGTTATACCAGAAATAAGAATGTATTATTGTGGCTAAAAGATTAAAATGTTGGGTATCATCAGAGTTTAATAAAAACAAAATAGAAAACTTTAAAAACCCAATTAAGAAAAGAAAGTGAGCTATCCTGAGGGTATATATTTTCATCTGCTTTGTTCAGAATATCTTCACAACATAGATTAGTGCCTAATGCATGGTGGAAACCAGTAATAATAGCTAAATGTATTTAGCTATTAAATGAATATGTATCAATATTTCTGGCCAGGCATGGTGGCTTACTCTTGTAATCCTAGCTCTATGGGAGGCTGGGACAAGATCACTTGAGCCCAGGAGTTTTGAGCCAGCCTGAGCCTCATGTCTACTAAAATTAGAAAAATTAGCTGGGCATCGTGGCAAGTACCTGTACTCCCAGCTACTCAAGGGGCTGATGCAGGAGGATCAATTTAGCCCAGGAGTTTGGCCTTGCAGTGAGCTATGATAATGCCACTACACTTTAGTCTGGGTGACAGAGTAAGACCTGTCTCAAAAAAAAAAAAAAAAGAAAGAAAGAAATTCTATTTCAAATATAAGTAACCAGATACAGGGGCTTGTTGTCATCATGTATCTGCTGTATCTGGTTACATACATCATTATTGCTGTATGTCATCATGTATCTGCTTGTATTATGTATTATGCTTGTTGTCATCATGTATCTGCTGTATCTGGTTACTAAATCATTATGTTCATTAAGAAAATTACTGAAATTATAGAGGAAGTTTTTATATATTCGATGACTTGGTTCTTGGAGCATCATTTGAAGCTTTAGGTGTCTCTTAGGAGTCTCTTCGGTATCATAATCAAATGTTTTATCGCATACCCCATCTTCTTCCTTGTAGACCTAAGTAACCTGAACCACAGAGAGTCATATTGATCGTACAAGCATATTATGAGTACAAACTTCTTCATTTGATCATCTAAATGGTTTCTCTTAGGTGCTGGATATCACATAGTCATGGAAAGGGAACCAAATTGTAATGTTGAAAAAATCTCTGCAATAATTCATTCTCATGTTCCAGATGCCATCCTGGAGAAGGATATTACAACTAGATTATCATTTATCTTACCCAAAGAGTATACACAAAGGTATGGATTCAAAAGCTCTAGATGGATTATTTGGAGGTGAACAGAAATCATTTTGAGCCTCCTAAATTTGGCAAGCTTAGTGAGAAGCGTTTTTCTAACAAACCACAACTTCAGTTAGAGTTGTCATTTGCCAACTAGAATTGGGAAGCTCATACCTAAAGATTTCTGTTACTGAGCAGAGAATTGCCTTATTATTTAAGTCCATTCAAGGCTCATTTAATGTTTTTCTTTTTGTTTATTTGTTTGTCTTTGAGGGAGGAGATTTTAAACTTGGTGGCTATATCTTCCTTGTGTTAATAAGGGATACTTATTAAGATGCTCATAGTATACAAATTTTCTGCATATTGGGTAGGATCCAGAGAAATATTAAGATGATGAAAGTAACAGCTTGGATGACAGCTCTTGGAGCAGAAGTGACAAGGACACAGAGATAACTGGGAGTTTGGACTTGGCAATTAGCCAAATTAATGATGGAGGGGAGAAACAGATAATTCTACCAGGGATTCTTTAGGGAGTGTATCATTTTGTCTTTTTCCTGAAGTTATTACTCTCTAGATATCTCACAGATGTAAGATGGCTACCATATACAAGAAGAGATGAAAAGTGTGTGGGATATTGCTCTACATTTCCATCTGATATAAAGTTCCTAGGTAGAATGAAGCAAATAACATACAAGGATCCAGGCCACCAAGATTCTAATAAGAGAAAAGATATGAAAATAAATAGTTATGGTTTGGCGCCCGTAGCTCAGCAGTTAGGGGACTGGCCACATAAACTGGAGCTGATGGGTTCTAACCCCACCCAAGCCTGCTAAAAACAAACAAATAGCTGGGCATTGTGGCAGGGACCTGTAGTCCCAGCTACTTGGGAGGCTGAGGCAAGAGAATTGCTTGAGCCCAAAAGTTTGAGGTTGCTGTGAGATGTGATGGTACTCTACCAGGGGTGACATGGTGAAACTCTGTCTCAATAAATAAACAAATAAATAGTTGTATCATAGAGGAATAAAAAGAAGAAGAAATGCTCCATAGGAGTTATATTCATTCAGAGTAAATCTGAACCCTTTTGAGAATCATGAAACAGAATTGAGATTGCTGAAGTAAAGCTCAATCCTCATCATGAAGTAAAAGAGTATGATACTAAAGAGTAAGAGAAATGACAAAAGCTACAACCAAAAAGTCATGATATGAAGATGCATTCAGCAGTTAGAGGACACGTTTTGTTGGTACTTGACAGAGTTTAATAATTATAAATCTGGAAGTACAGAGTGATACTGAAAGAAACATGTAGACAGAGAACTAATCACAGCATCTGCCAATCTCATATCCTCTGTGTACCAATTACATCATCAAAAGAGACCAGGAATAATGAATGTGTCAGCACTATTCAGTATAAAGTGAGAAATGCAAGGACTTGGAAGGAAGTAATATTTTCATCATGTCTTCCTACTAATACTGGGGACATGGAAGAGAAGAAGAGGACAAAAGTCTGAGATGTGAATAACTAATCACACAGATTGATATAAATACTCTCAGTGTGGTTTATGGGCCCCATACCATGGATCTGGCACAGTATAAAATGCAAATCATGAAGCTGGGAAAGATATGTTTGCTGAGAATAAAGTTTTCTTGAACAGGATAATTTTTTTTACTTTTTTTATTAAATCATAACTGTGTACATTAATACTATCATGGGGTACAGTGTGTTGTTTCTATATACAGTTTGAAATACTTTCATCCAACTGGTTAACAGCCTTCATGTCATTTTCTTAGTTATTGTGTTAAGACATTTATATTCTACATTTAGAAAGACTCACATGTACCCCCATAAGATAAACCATAGGCATGATCCCACCAATCACCCTCCCTCCACCCACCCTCCCCCTCCCCTCCCTCTCCCCTTTCCCCATATTCTTGGGCTAAAATTGGGTTATAGCTTTCCTATGAAACCTATAAATTAGTTTCATAATAGGGTTGAGTACATCGGATACTTTTTCTTCCATTCTTGAGATACTTTGCTAAGAATATTCTCCAGCTCCATCCATGTAAATATGAAGGAGGTAAACTCTCCATCTTTCTTTGTGGCTGCATAGTATTCCATGGTGTACATATATCATAATTTATTGATCCATTCACTGGTCAATAAGCACTTGGGCTTCTTCCATGACCTAGCAATTATAAATTGGGCTGCAATGAACATTCTGGTACAAATACCTTTATTGTTGTGTGATTTTTTGGTCTTCTCAATATATACCCAGTAGAGGAACTATAGGATCAAGTGGCAGGTCTATTTTTAGTTCTTTAAGTTTGAACAGGATAATTTTAAAGTAAATGTCTAAAGAGAGAGAGAGAGAAACATCCATAATACAATATCTATAACCCATTTAGTTCATAGGATAGTTAATAGTAGGAAAAGAATAAAACACATTGGTTTTTGTGTTTTTTTATTTCTTGGTTATTTCCAAGACTTTTATAGCTAAAATTAATTGTTCATTTGCTTTATGTCAGACATGACCTCTAATAACTTTACATGTATGTATTTACATGAGGAAGTGACTTAAAAACAGTACTGATAATTTCACAGACCCATATTCTAATCCATAGAATGTGGCTAGCAAAAGTAAACTTGAGACTTTTAAACAAGGTTTTAATCTGTTTGCATTTTTGTCATTGCCTCCTATAATTTGAGACCTCATTTATATTTGATATAGAAACCGTATGTAAATAAAGTAACTCTTATGAAGCAGCTATAGTCCCTGACATGTTATAAAAATAAATTGATTATTTATCAGGAGAACAAAAAAACATACCAAAGATCATGTGATATTGGGGAGGTATTTGCTAAGGTAAATCCCTTTTCTTTCCATTTCTTTCATGATAAGCATTTATAGTAAAGAAGAATCTATTAAACATTTTTCTCATAACCATAATTTTTTATGGAATAAAACAATATTGGAAATCTAACAAAAACAAACCAATTCAAAAATTGTTTCCCCAAAGAATATATACAAATGGCAAATAAACATGTGAAAAGAGTCTCAACATCACCAGTCATTAGGGAAATGCAAGTCAAAATCACCAAAAAAATGGCAAGTATTATGAGGAGATGGAGAAATCAGAACCCTTGTCCATTGCTAGTGGGAATATGCATCTGCTATGGAAAACAGTATGCAGAGTTAAATAGAATTACCATATGACCAGTAATTCCACTTCCAGATACATACTCAAAAGAAGTAAAAGCAGGTACTTGAACAGGTTGTCTGTACACCAGTATTCATAGCAGCCTTATTCACAATAGCCAAAAATGTAGAAACAACTTAAATGTTGATGCATAAATGGATAAGCAGCATGTGGTATATCCATACAAGTAATATATTCAGCCTTTAATGGAACGAAATTCTGATTACAATGTATGTGCTATGGATGAATAGAAATAATTACACAAAAAAGGCCAAACGCAAAAGGATAAATATTGTATCTATTTACATATATTGACATACATAGAATATACAAACTTATAAAGACTGAAAGCAGAGGTAATGTTGAGGTAAGAGTAAGAAATTTTAAAAATTTTAATGGGTATAGAATTTTAGTTTGGGACAGTGGGAAAAAATCTGGATATGAATAGTGGTGATGGTTGTACAACATTGTGAATTGCTTAATGACAAATGTACACCTAAAAAGTTGGGGTTTTTTTATCAAATCATATCTGTGTTCATTAATGCTATCATGGGGTACAGAATGCTGTTGCTATATACAATTTGAAATATTTTCATCCAACTGGTTAACATAGCCTTTATGTCATTTTCTTATTGTGTTAAGACATTTATATTCTACATTTAGAGAGATTCACATGTACCCTTATATGATAAACCATAGGTGTAATCCTACCAATCACCCTCCCTCCACCCATCCTCCCACCTGAAAAGTTTTTAAATGGTACATTTTAGTTAGGTACATTTTGCCACATTAAAAACTTATTTTAAACAATAGGAAAAATATAATTTGGAATAAAATTAATAGTAAATTGAATAAAAGTGTAAGTGCTTATATTTTTAAAAAATTTCATTTACTCAAAAATGAAATGAACTTTATAAACAAAAATTTATCTACACTAATGCTAGTTCTTTCTTTTCCTCTTCATTCTTTCCTTCCACCAGGTTTGAAGCTCTGTTTGATGATCTGGGAAGGAAGCAGAAAGAGCTGGGCATTGCCAACTTTGGTGCTTCAATCAGTACCATGGATGAAGTCTTTTTTAAGTAATTATTACCTTAAAACAAAAAACGTCCACCTCTAAAATCCTACATCAGTTTGAGAGCAAACCATACTCTATTTGCAGTTAGAGTAATCAAAGTGCTATTGAATTGTTACATGTGTTACTATTTCATGCTGATATGTTTTCATATATTCAATTCAAAACTATGTAAAGATTTTGAGTTTAGGTTTTGATGCAAAAGCTTGGGTCTTTTTTGTAGTAGAGAGTTTAGAGTTAACCAAGGGCGGGGTGGGGGGTGGATTATGGAACATCTATGTCACCATAGGAAAAATTCTATTCTAATTTGGAGTAAATACTAGGAATGACTTTAAAATTTTCTTTCATCTAACCACATTTCTGTTTAATTTGTACATAGTTTGGTTTTTGCACTGTTTAAAAGTTCATAGTGCTAGTGCCCAGGGTATTTAGGCTGTCATTCAGCAAGGTTAGTTGGTGAGCTGTCAAAAAGATTCACAAAATGTTTCTTTTGTTTGTATGTTTGTTTTTTCTGATAATGTTCTAACAGAGCTAGATTTAGACTTTGTTCTCTCAGGTTCAGGGATTTAATATTGTCAATGTCTCAAAGTTGACTTGAGGCAATTTATTCACCCAAATTAAGTTCACTAAAGACTTTATAAATTAGAAGATAACTTCATTAATTTGCAACAAGTATAATTTATGATAAAAAAAAAATGGCCTCTTAGTCATCCAAATGTTCTCCTCTCTTTCTCTCTAGACAAGCTTCATAGGGAGCTCAATTATAATGAGAAAATTACTTTATGAAAACTAGAGAAAAACTCTCTAAAGGCTGAGACATGTTTGTTTGGGTCACTGATTATACTGGGGACTTCAAGCAGTGTCTATCTCATACTAAATTAATGAATGAATATAATTCAAAGCCATTATCTCCACAGTAGAGACCCTGCTGTCAGTTGGGCATTTACAAATTAAAACCTAACATTATCTCCCCTAGGGGTTATTGGCAACGTTTGCCTCAGAGTTTCATTTTCTACTTTCTCCTTAATGACTATACGTTTTTTAGTTTTGTTTGTAGATTCTACCAAATTTTAGTAAAGAAGCACTTTCTCTCTTTAATGTGACTGCTAATCAATCATCTTATTTGTGTTTTAAGACTCAGAGGAGAGGCTCGGGGCCCGTGGCTCAAGTGGCTGAGGCGCCAGCCACGTACACCCAAGGTGGCAGGTTCGAATCCGGCCCCGGGCCACCAAACAACAATGACGGCTGCAATCAAAAAATAGCCGGGCATTGTGGCAGGCACCTGTGGTCCCAGCTACTTGGGAGGCTGAGGCAGGAGACTCACTTGAGCCCAGGAGTGGGAGGTTGCTGTGAGCTGAGATGCCACAGCACTCTACCCAGGAGGACAGCTTGAGGCTTCTGTCTCAAAAAAAAAAAAAAAGACTCAGAGGAGAATCTTTTCCCTTAGAGGAGCATCCCTAACATCCTGAATACTAACTACACGGTAGTAAAATAGATTGTACAGTACAATTAAACTATCAAAAGCTAATAGAAAGAGAAGAGGCAGCAATGTCAGATAGACCTGGGCCCATATGCTCTGTGGACAGAAGCCATATCATACTCTGCAAAACAATTTAAAGAGGTTTATTCTGAGCCAAATTTGAGGATCTTGACCCAGAGCCACACCCAAGAAGGCTTGAGCAAGTGGACTTGCTGTGGTGGGGTTACAGTTTGGTTTTTACATTTCAAGGAAACAGGAATTATAGGCAAAGTCATAAATCAATATATGGAAGGCATACATTGGTTTAGCCCAAAAATGAGGAACATCTCAAAGCAGGAGCTTACAGGTTAGTTTAAAGATTCTTTAGCTGACTTTCAATTGGATGAGACAGTTAGACTTTGTCTGATAGACTAGGAGTCAGTGGAAAAAAGATGCTCGAATTAAGATAAAGGGTCTATTAATCAAAGTACCAGACATATGCCTAGGTTCAAGTGGTTTGTTATGTATACTGAGGACCTTCCTTAGGCCTGTTAATAAGTCACAAAAGACATCTCTAAGAAGGCAAGGGGGCATGATGAGGCATAAATGATCTCCTTTCTCATGGCTAGCAACTCAGTTTTAGGGTATCCCCTTGACAGAGAGTGGGGCCAGTCGGCTACTGGGTTAGGGGAAGCCTTAAGATTTTATTTTGGTTCACAGCTGATATCACATTTTAGCTTATGGCTTCACATAACCTCTAAATTTCAGCTAACCTCTCTGAAAAGAGCCAATGCAAGGATGTGAGGTAATGTATTTGAAAGGCATCGTATCCTGTGTAGCTCCTTGTACATGTGCATGTGCTTAGTGAATGGTGGTTATAATGAGGAGATTGATTCATGAGGTAAACTATGGAGCAGTTTAAGTGCTTACTATTTGCAAAGTACTATCCTAAGTATTGAATTTAAAGACATTTAAAGCATTAAATCCTTACAAGGAGCTATTATTGTCACTACTTTTTAGGTGAGAAAACTAAAGCCAGACACAATTTCCACAGCCACAAAGCTAGTAAGTTGTCAGTGAAGAGAAACGGGAAGATGAAATTGGTTAGGCTAAAGTAGGAGTCATTTAAAATTAAAGACTATATGACCCCCACCAGCATCACCTTGATTATGTATCCACCTGTGCCTAGATTTTTGAGGGTTTTTACCATGAAAGGAGGATGGATTTCTATTGAATGCTTTTTCTTCATCTATTAAGATGATTGTATGATTTTTTTTGTTTCCGTTTTCTCTGAATCATCTTTATTGATTTATATATGTTGAACCATCCTTGTATCCCTGGAATAAAACCTACTTTGGTCAGAGTAAATTATCTTTTTATGGTGCTATTGAATTTGGTTTTATCATATTTTGTTGAGGATTTTTACATCTGTGTTCATAAGGGATATTGGTCTGTACTTTTCTGTTTTTGTGATGTCCTTTCCTGGATTTGCAGAATGAGTTAGGAAGGATTTCTTCCTTCTTTATGTTATGGAATCATATCTGTGGGATAGGTACCAGTTCTTTTTTATAAACATGGTAGAATTCATCTGTGAATTCATCTGATCTGTGAGTTGTTTGGGGAAGAATATTTATTACTGCTTCAATCTCACAACTTGCTATTAGTCTCTTTAGGATTTATATTTCTTCTTGATTCTAACTTGAGAGGTTGTGTTTCTCTATGAAGTTTACATATCCTCTACATTTTCTAGGTGGAGGTTTTCATAGTGTTCATGGATAATATTTTGTATTTCTGTGATCACATAATTTCTTTCAGACCCACTGCTCTCCTGTGGCCTCCACAGTCTGGGAAGTAATGGGGAAATATTGTCTACGGATCTGTAACAATGAAAATGAAGGGGTGATACTCCTACCAGAGGACAAAGGCCTCTGATGATTGCTGGAGAAGCAGATGGCACCCACTGACTCAGTTTGGATCTGTGGTGAGATGGAATGGCACCAACAGGGCTAGCAGCCTGGTGCTTTGTTCTCAAGAAACTCCCAGTTCACTGTCTGAAGCATCTTTAGGGATTGTGAAGGTAGAGAAACCCTGAAGGAGCTCAGGTGCCCATAGTCTGACAGAGCTGTGAGGGGAGGAGAATCAGAATCCCTACCTACCCTTTTCATGGGGCTACAAGTTTCTCAGGGTTTGACATCTACCAAAATCTTAATCTTTGCTCTGCTCCACTTTTTTTTTCATGGAATCTCCATTAAATTCTGGTACTTTTCCCTCTGAATTACACCTGAACTATGTTTTTTTTTCATCTGAAATTTTTCCTTCTTGAGATGTTCTGGTCTCCAATGACTCTAGTCAACCATCTTGTCCCACCCCCTCTAAAAACCTAATGCATTTTTAAGAGTGATTAGCTTGTCTGGGGGAGCACACAATGTATAATATGTAATTTTGTGAAACAACTTTGAAAAGAGGCAGATACAGAGATATTAAAGAACTTGAGGCTCAGTGACCATGGCTCAGTGGTTAGGGCACCAGCCAAATGCACTGGGGCTGGTGGGTTCAAACCTAGCCATGGCCTACAATAATGAGAGCAATAAACACAAAAACAGCTGGATGTTGTGGCAGGCACCTGTAGTCCCAGCTACTGGGAGGCTGAGGCAAGAGAATCGTTTAAGCCCAATCGCTCACTCCACTGAGGGCGACATAGTAAGCCTCTGTCTCAAAAAATAAATAAATAAATAACTTAAGTTTTTGTACATGATTGATGTTAAACTGCTATTATTTCAAATTTAGGGTATAACTTTAGGATGCTAAATATAATCCCCTAGGTAATCACAAACAAAGTAGCAATAGAATATGTACAGTAGGAAATAATAAAGCAATTTAAACATTTCACTGCAAAAAATCAACTAAACATAAAAGAAAACAGTAATGCAGGAAAATGAAGGACAGAAAAGGTATAAGGGAAATAGCCAAATGACCATAAAAGTTCTTCATTATTTAAATACAAAAAAAATTAAGCTCTCCAATCAAAGACAGAGATTGGCATAATATATTTTTTAAAAAATACATGATCTAGCTATGTGCTGTCTAGTAGAGACACAAATAGATTGAAAGTGGAAGGGTAGAAAAAGGTATTCTGTGGAAGGTGGGGAGGGGGGTGGATAGGGGGAGGGAGAGTGATTGGTGGGGTCACCTCTATGGTTTATCCTACAAGGGTACCAGTGATTCTTTCTAAAAGCAGAGTATGAATGTCTTAACTCAATAACTAAGAAAATGACATGAAGGCTACATTAACCAGTTTGATGAGAGTATTTCAAGGTGTATATGAAAACACCACACTGTACCTATGATTGCATTGATGTACACAGCTATGATTTAATAAAAAAGAAAAAGAAAAAGGTATTCTAGGCAAATAGTAACCAAAACAGAACAGGGATAGCTATACTAATCACAAAAAAATAGACTTCAAATGAAAACAAGATGCAAGAGACAAATAACAACAATCCATATCAGGATAATATAAAATTATATTGGTATTTTGATGGATCTTTATATCACCTTGGTTAGTACAGACATTTTAACAGTGTTGATTCTGCTGATCAATGAGCATGATGTATTTTTCCATGTGTTTACATCCTCTGCTATTTCCTTCTTCATTGTTTTGTAGTTCTCCCTGTAGAGGTCTTTCATCTCCTTAGTTAAATATATTCCTAGGTATTTTATTTTCTTTGTTGCTATTGCAAAGGGTAGTAAGTTTTTGGTTTGATTCTCAGGTTGACTGTTGGTGTATATGAATGCTATTGATTTGCATACACTGATTTTTGTAAGCAGAGGCTTTGTTGATTTATTGAACACTTCCAGGAGTCTCTTGGCAGAATCTTTGGGGTTTCTAGATTTTAAAATCATATCACCAGCAAAGGTGATTGTTCAACTCTTCTTTCCCCATTTGGATACCCTTGATTTCCTTCTCTTATCTGATTTTTCTCACTAGGACTTTCAGCTCTGGGTTGAAAAGACATGGTAATAGTGGTCAAGCTTGTCTGGTGCCATGTCTAAGCCAGAATGCTTTCAGTTTTTCCCCATTCCAGGTGATGTTGGCTGTGGATTTGTCATATATGACTTTTATATTTTGAGGTAAGCTCTGTCTATGCCTATTTCATTAGCATTCTTACCATAAAAGGATGTTGAATTTTGTCAAATGCTTTTTCTGCCTCTGTTGAGAGGCTCATCTGATCTTTGTTTTTACTTCTTTTTATGTAGTGAATGAGATTTATAGGTTTGTGTATGTTGAACCATCCTTGCATCTCTGAGATAAAGTCCACTTGGCCATGGTGAATTATTGTTTTGATGTGCAGCTAAATTCGGTTTACTAGGATTTTACTGACAATTTTTTGCATCTATATTTGTAAGGGACGTTGGCTGTTGAGTTTTTGTTGTTGTTGAGTCCTTTCCTGGCTTCAGTACCAAGGTTATGTTGGCTTCATAAAATGTGTTGGCGAGGAGTCCATCCTTCTCAATGTTAAGAAATAATTGTTGTAGTATAGGAACCAGTCCTTCTTTGTAGATCTGGTAAAATTCAGGAATGAAACTGTCTGGTCCAGGACTTCTTTCCTTGGAAGATTTTTTATTGCTGCTTCAATTATAGTACTTGATATTGGTCTATTCAGGAATTCCATTTCTTCCTGATTGAGTCTAGGGAGCCTATGTGTTTCTATGACTCTGTCTATTTCTTCCATGTTATGTTTATGTGTATAGAGATTTTTATAGTATTCAGAGATGATATGAGATGACACTTTCTCTTCTTTTAGTTTCAGATTAATATGGGGGTACATATGATTAGGTTACATAGTTTTCTTTCATAAGATTAAAGTCTGAGTTGTAGTTGTGTCCTGCACCCAGAAAGTGTATAATATATCCCTACAGTGTACCCACTGTGTGGGAATTTACCCAACCCCTTCCCCCCACACTCCTAATTGGATTTCACTGAGTTTATCTCTCATGTGACCATGTAGTTGTTAATCTGTGAGGTACAATATAGTACTGAGTACATGTGATGCTTGTTTTTCCATTTGTGTGATACTTCACTTAGGAGAATGTTCTCCAATTCCATCCAGATTGTTACAAAAGATGCAAGATCCCCATTTTATGGCTGTATAATATTCCATGGGAGGTGTGTGTGTGTGTGTGTGTATATATATATATATATTGAATCCATTCATGTATTAAAGGGCACTTGGATTATTTCCACATCTTTGTGATTGTGAATTGTGCTGCTATAAACATTTAAGTGCAAATGTGATAAAATGTCTTTTTTCTTTTCGGTGAATACCTAGTAATACGATTGCAGGATCACATGCAATCCCACCAACAGTGTATTAGTGTTCCTTTCTTTTTACACCCATGCCTGCGTCTGCTGCTTTAAGCTTATGATGTAGGCTATTCTCACTGGGCTTGGGTGATATCTCAAAATGATTTTTATTTGCATTTCTCTGATGATTCAGGGTAATGAGCATTTTTTATGTGTTTCTTGGTCATTAGTCTGTCCTTAGAGGTTTCTGTTCACATCTCTTAACTAGTTATTAATGGGGTTGTTTGATCTTTTCTTGTTGATTTGCTTGAGTACTTTGTAGATTCTGGTTATTAGCCCTTTGTTGGATGTGTAGCATCCAAATAATCTCTCCCATTCTGTAAGTTGTCTTCTTGTTGATTATGTCCTTAGACTTGTGCAAAAAAATATATATTTATTTAACTTGATCTGGTCCCATTTATTTAATTTTGTTATTGCTGCAATTGTCTTTGGGGTCTTCATCATAAATTCTTTCCCTGGGCTGGTATCATTAAGAGTTTTCCCCCACATTAAGAGGTTTTTTTTTTTTTTTTTTTAGAGTTTTATAGTTTCATGTCTTAAGTCTAAATCTTTTATCCATTCTGAGTTGTTTTTTGTGAGTGGTGAGAGGTGCAGGTCCTGTTTCTGTCTTTTATATGTGACTAACCAATTTTCCCAGGACCATTGGTTGAATAGAGATTCTTTTTATGACAGTGTATGCTTTTGTTTGCTTTATCAAAGATTAGATGCCAACATGAGGCTAGTTTCAGAGGTGATATTTTCTATTTCAATGGTTTCAGTTCGATCATTGCATCATAACAGAGAATCCAAGTATAAAGCCATACTCACATTGCCATTTGATATTTGAACAAAGCAGACAAAAATATACACTGGAGGAAGGAATTCAATAAATGGTGCAGGGAAAACTGATTAGCCACGTGTAAAAAACGGAAACAGGATCCAAACTTCTCACTAGCAGATTCAACGTGGAGGGCAGGGGCAGGAGGGCCAAGCAGGCGGCACAAATGTCAAGTCAGGCAGGCTGAGATTATCTCCAGAAGTGAAGGGACTGGGAAGATGCTCCACTCAGGGCCTGCCAAAGTAATAGTTCTGTGGTTAGAAAAATACCTTTTAGGCTGGGCATGGTGGCTCATGGAAGGCCGAGGCAGAAGGATCTCTTGGGGTCAGAGTTCCAGATCAGCCTGTGCAAAGTAAGACATCATCTCTATTGAAAATAGAAAAATAAGCCAGCTTATTTTTGTTATCTGCCTATAATCCTAGATTTTCAGGTTTGGTGGTGCATGCTCAAGAGTTCAGTGTTCAGGAGGCTTAGGCAGGAGGATCACTTGAGCCCAGGAGTTTGAGGTTGAGGTGAGCTAGGCTGTGGCTATGGCAGTCTAGCCTAGGTGACAGAACAAGACTGTGTCTCAAATAAATAAATAAATAAATAAATAAAAATATCTTTTAAAATCGTGTATTTCCTGCCAGTGTTCTATGATTTCTACTGGTATAATTTTTCCTGCCTTTCAATATAGTGTGATAAGTTTTTTCTTCTATTATGCTATTTATTATTTTCTTCCTTAAATAATAATTACTCGTATATCTTTCCTTTTTCTTCTTAAGTATCCACATCCAAAGACTCAGCTTCAGACTTAGGCAATAATAGGAAATGTAAGGGCTTAAAATAACACAACTTACTCTTCAATGTCCCCATCATTTCATAAAAGAAACAGCATTTTAACTGTCTGAGGAGAGATAATATCCTTGATTAAATATAACTTTAGTAAGTTCATCTTAATGATATACAACATATTGTAGTTGTCTCTTTTTTTCATATTGCCTCAGAATGATGAAAACCTTAGCATCAAATGGCAGTAGTCCTCTAACTGGTGATTGGGAAATACTGTTCTGCTGACTCTATACAGTGTTTCTGCCAGTCAGTGAGAAAGACCAAGGAATCTTCCAAATTTGGAACTTTGTTTGACAGTCCTCAAATAAAATAGATTGAGACTACTGTTAAAATGAAATGCTTTGTGCTTTTTTTGTGTGTATGTGTGTAGAGTCAGTAAGCTTTCATCTTTCCAAAGAAGGCCTCAGGGTAACCAGACCATTTCCTTCATGAGCCAAAACCTAGAAGAAGACAAGAAACAGATTACTATGCCCATAAATTATGAGAAGCCATCTTATTCCAATTTGAAGGAACTTTCTATGATTAAATTCAATACTGGGGTAAGCATATTCACTAAGCATGTAAACATTGTATGTTTCATTTGGGTAGATGTTCACGTTCAATATCTGAACATAAAAGATTTTTGGAGGTCAGCCATAGAAGACTCAGCAATATATGGACCAGTCTGTACTAGAATCCCACTAATTTTCTGGTGTAGGAGAAATGGGTTCTAGATAAAGAACACACTACTACTCTCACCATTGTTATTTTTTAGGGTGACTTTGAAAACCTTTTAATATAAATTTTCCCTTTGTTCAGTTCTGAAAAGACCCAAGAGTTATTACTATTTTATTCAAAAGGACAAAATTAAGGAAATTTCTCATTATGAACCTAAGTATGTGTACTAAAACAAGCCAAAAGATAATAGCTTTATAGAGGTGTTTCTCTTATAAAATGGATAAAATAGATTATGGTGTAATAATAAATAGAACAGGCAAACAATTTTGGTTTCTGATCAGAAATACTACAACACATTATTTTGTTAATATTTTTAGTGTAGTTATATCAGATCTTAATCCTTTCATTTAATACCTTACACAAATAAGGGATCTTATTGTTTACTTGGGTTCAATACAAAGCATGCATTTCTATTATATGTGTATATGTTCTAACATAAAATTTTGAAGCATTTACATTAATGGATATCAACACAAATGTCCGACTTGAGTCCTACTTGAGGCTTTGGACAGTTATAGTCCAAAATACTATAATGTTATAATGTACAACATTACACAATGTAATCTATGTTTTTCTCTTCTTTTTAGTTACCACTTTACTACCAGCAATTTCGTTCCATGTTTATGAAAAGGGCACTATTTAGTTGGCGCAACTGGAAGTTGACACTGCTTCAAATAATAGTAATTTTGGTTATTACTACATATATCCTAAGAACTCTTAAAGTACCAAAGAATAATGAGCCTTCCAGGGAAATGGAATTGAGTCATTATGGCCAAACCATTGTGCCTTACTCAGTTTCAGGGAATTCAGATTTGGTTCTGACTCTCATAAAGAACCTTAAGATTTTTTTAAAATCTAAGAATCAAGAACTGCAGGAAATACAAGGTAAGATTGATAGAGGGGGAAAAAAGGTTTCTCTGTATTTGTGTCACTTATAAACCAGGGACATAACTGTAGTATTGAGCTACCCATTTCCTACTGTTACACATTTCCTACTAATTACCAGTATCATAAAGGCAGCTGAATCAAAGGTAAAAAAGAATATATACTTCAAGAAAGCCTGATGCAAAAGTTAATAAATAATGGAGATTTTTTGGCTGTAGGTGTTCTTTCAGCTAATTATATCACCTTTCAGAAATGGAAAAAGAACCAAAATACTATAATATTGTAAAACTTACCATAGAATATTTATTCTGACCAGAATACAAATATATCTCTTTAAGTTCTCACAGAGTGGAATATTGGTTCCAAGCTCAGAAAGCTATTTTTTATTATATTGGCTACTCTAAAAACAAATGGCTAAAAGATTACTAGACTGACTCTTTGGAACTAATTTTTTGGAAGTAGTGTAAATAAATACTTGATTTTTTCAATGTTTACCTTTGGTAAGAACCACACTAAATACATTATCTGCATTATTGTCCATGCTTTAATGTTAAAAACAACCTTTTAGGTAGCTTTTTAGGTATCTGTTCCTGTGTAACAAATTACCCCCAATACCTAGTGAATGGAACATTTTAACTTTTGGTAAGGTAGAATTAACACCTTCTCCCATAAAGATTAAGAAAAATGCTTACCAAACTATATCTTTTCTTAATCAAGCATTTTAGAACACCAGAGATTGAGCAAAAATACAGAACAAACAAAAAAGTTTCTACTCAAGAAAAACTATTGACTTTCTCTATTAGAATAGGGTCCATGGCATTTAACTTGGTATTATTCCTATCACCCTCACTTAGAGCTCAGTGATATGTAGCCATGAAAAGCCAATAGCGGAAAAGGGTACACTCTCTAGAGCTCAGTTTGAAGTTTAAAATTCCACATATATCTTTTCTCAGGGTTTCATAGTTCTCTTTGTAGAGGTCTTTCACGTCCTTTGTTAGGTAAATTCCCAAATATTTCATCTTCTTTGGCACTACTGTAAAAGGAATAGAGTCCTTGACTGATTTTTCAGCTTGATTATTATTGGTATATATAAAAGCTACTGATTTGTTTAACAAAAACAAAAAGCTACTGATTTGTGAATGTTGATTTTGTATCCTGAGACACAGCTGTATTCTTTGATCACTTCAAAGAGTTTTATAGTTGAGTCCCTGGGGTTTTCCAGGTATAAAATCATATGATCTCCTCTGACTCTATTTGGATATCCTTTGTTAACATTTGTTAACAAATGGAAAAAGATACCATGCTCATGTCTAGGAAGAATCAACATTGTTAAAATGTCCATACTACCCAAAGCAATATACAAATTTAATTCAATCCCTTTTAAAGCACCATTGTCATACTTTAAAGACCTGGAAAAAATAATACTTCATTTTATATGAAATCAGAAAAAACCTTGATTAGCCAGGAGGTTTTTCATTACTCAGAAATAAAAACAAAGCAGGAGGAATCACACGACCAGACCTCAGACTTTACTATAAATCTATAGTGATCAAAACAGCATGGTACTGGCACAAAAACAGAGAGGTAATGTATGGAACAGAATTGAAAACCAAAAGACCAACTACTTACTGTCATTTGATCTTTGATAAGCCAATTAAAAACATTCAGTGGGAAAAAAACTTCCTATTTAACAAATAGTGCTGGGTGAACTGGCTGGCCACCTGTAGAAGACTGAAACTGGACCCACATCTTTCACCATTAACAAAAATTGTTTCTCACTGAATAAAAAAACTTAAATCTAAGACATCAAACTATAAAGATACTTAAAGAAAGTGCAAAGGAAATTCTTGAAGAAATTGGCCTGGGAGAATGCTTTATGAGAAGGACACCCTGGGCAATTGAAGCAACACCAAAAATACATTACTGAGACCTGATCAAATTAAAAAGCTTCTGCAAAGCCAAGAACACAGTAAGTAAAGCAAGCAGACAGCCCTCAGAATGGAAGACAAAG